CTGAGACACTTGGATCGGAAGATCCCATAGAGTTATGGCCTAGAAAGGCGTATGTGTTGTATGTGGTATTTTGGGGAACTCACTAAGCATTATTGCTTACCGCTTGCGTGTTATGTGTTTCAGGTACCAGTGATGATCGCGGGAAGGCGCCGACATGATCAGTACACACTTATGGTGGAGATGTTTTGAGATTCTGGGGATTTTGATTTGCACTTATGTTATGTAAAAACAATTGATATACGTTTTTGAGAATTGAGATTGGAGTATTTTTATTAATTTAAAATGAAAATTTGTTTTGAAATTTCACGGTGTTACACCTATGTTGAGGACCTTGTAGAGGTATTCCAGTTATAGGCTGTGGGCCTAGTGATTATGATTGTTTATTTCTTTTGTTGGTAGTGCCTTTGATGTTGGCGCGTTGATCGGAGTCGGGAGACGCACCAATCAGATGGTTTGGATAAAGGAAGCAATAAGGGTTGCAGGGAGTATCAGTTAGGTATCAGAAAGTCTTTGTAGGATGTATGTATTATGATTCTGATTGTGCACAAGTTGTTGCTAGGTTTTGGTTTTCAGGATTTGAAATTAGTTGGAAAGTATCAAGTCATAAAGTTATTTATGGATGTCTCGAGTGAATGCCCATGTGGAGGTACACCTGAGCCGATAAGGGGTTTGATGTAGCACAGAAATTTTGGTTTGATCATCTTTGCTCGTCAAATCTGGGGTTGGTAATGGCATAGCAGAGAGTCAATGGTTATTAGGGTGTTGGTTCATCATATGGTTTGGTTTTGGGTGAAGTTTGCAGTCGGTATGTTTTGAGGATCCTTCTGTGTGTTTCTGGTAGTGTCCCCAGTTAAGGACTAGGGGTAGATTCAAATGGATGCTTATAAGTGTTAGAGAAGGTTCTGCCAGAAGATACTATGTGTGGCCATTTTCGAGTAGGCTTTTAGTTGAAACTTGTGTTGGGAATCACGAGTGTATCCATGCAAGGTCTGTATCCAGACAGATATGAGTTAAGAAATCTATATGTCAAGGCATTAGCTAAAGGGTTCATGATTTAGTTTATGTGTTTGTCCTCTAGGATGGTTCTCCTTGTGTGAAGGCCAGACAAGTGATGAGGCCTCAGAATTATAGTAGCATCGTTTTTGTCCGTCAGTTAAGGAAATCAGTATTTTGTAGCCCATTGTGTTCATGGAATTTTTATCATCAGGATGGGACTTGTCTCGAAGGAATATCTAATCCCAGTTGGTCGAGCGGAGGGTTGTCGGCAGCAGCAGTTGGTCTGCGATTTTGTTTTCTAGTAGGAATCAAAGGTGAGCAGAATTTGAGTAGATAGTTCGATGGATAAGTGAAGTAGATCTAGTAATGGGTTCAATATGAGTGGTCTGTCGGGGAGTCAGAACCCTTCGGGATATCAGGTTTCAGATAAAGTAGGTTAGATTGCTGCATGGGATTATGGATTCTTCTTCTTCTGGTTGGAAATTTTCTGCTGGGTATGGGCGCCTTAGGAAGGTCGTCGTCTGTGCAAGGTTATGGGTGTGTCCCTCAGGATGTTGGGCAAGATGGAAATGGCAAGGAATGATTTCAAGGACGAAATCAAATTTAAGTGGGGGAGGGTTGTAACACCCTGATTTTTAGGTATGTTCAAGTTCATCTCTTGGTTTTAAAGTATTTCATTTTGGTCATTGTTTTGGAAGGAAATAGTCGCAAGAAACCCTAGTGGAAAGATCATAATTTCGGAAGATGGAGTGGTACACTGAGCGTACATGTGAGTACGCTAAGCGTACTAGGGTGTGCCCTAGTATGTTGGGCGTACACATGTGTACGCTGGGATACTCATGTCTAAAAGAAACCCTAAGTTTTAGGGTTTGAGGGGTATTTAAGCATCCTTATGGTCTTTATCCCCACCTTTTCTGCCACTAAAGCCTTAGAGCCGTTTTTGCAAAACCCTAACCCCCCCCCCCTTGAGTGTGATTTTGAGCCCTAAAGTGATTTCTTGGTGTTTTAGAGGAAGAAAGGGTGCATCAAGAAGTTTGGAAGCTTGAAGTAAGGATTGGATCTGGAAGTTTGGATCTTTTCTCCATCATCTAAAGGTATAAAGTTCATACCTTTATGGTTCATTTGATAGATCTCATGTTTGGGTCTTTTATGCTTCTTTTTGATCCTAAATGCTCCATCTTGAGCATCACATGTTCTGGATGTTTTGAGTCGTCCTTTCAGACCCTTGAGGGGTCCTTGGTCATAAAAATGAGGTCCCAATGGCTAGAAGTGTTTCGTACTTTTGGTAAAAGGGGCTTAATGGATTAAGACCTCGTATTAAAAGATTTATGGACATGTAAGGTCATAAAGTTGGAGACTTTATGACCCTAGTATGTCTCTGGACCTTGGATGTGAAGTGTGAGATTAAGTGTTGAAGCTATTAAGTACTTATGAAGAAAATAGGACTTGCGAGGGTACGCACCGCGTACCCAATCAGTCACCCCGATGGTGGATTCTACGCAGCGTCGTGTACGCTGAGCGTACCTCCGGTGTATACTTCGCGTACGCGACGGTAGTGGGCGTCTTCATTTTGGACTTCAGGTTTGGGCTCGGATTGTCTTGGGCCTTGTTGGGCCATCTGGATTTTATGGTTTGGGCTTCTGTCTTGTTGGACATTTTTGGGTGAAGGCCCGTGAAAGGAATTGGGCCCAATTTGGAAAACTAGTCCATATTTGGGCCTTAGATGTTTATTTTTGGATTTTGGGCCTTTAGTCATCTAGTTTGGGCCTTGGCTTTGGGCCAAGCTTGTGGAAGGGTAAAAAGGTCTTTTACACTAATTTGAACCCATAGTGTGAGACAGGGGCTGGATATTGATGGATTGTCGTCATGGTATTTGATAGCGCATGGATTTTTAGCGGATCTACGGTCAGAGTCTATTCGTGGGATCAGCTGTGATGGGGTGTTGTCTTGATATTGGCGGTTCGGGGATTTGGCAGCCAGCAGCCAGGGATCGTCTTTATGTTTCGGCAATGCGAGGTGAGTTTTCCTCACTATACTTACGGGTCGAAGGCACCAAGGCCGACCCTTTGGATTCGATATCATGTTACACATGCTATTGTTCAGTAATGGTTTGTTAGATCGGTATCCTGGTTTTTAGGATGATGCTATGTTTAGTGATTTGTAGATCTGCATGTCTGCCTGTAGACTGTTTATATGATTATCTGTTATGTTTCGGCATTTTGTGTTGGGTTGAGGTTGTACTATTCCGTGTTGTAGCCAACAAACCCAGGAGCACTCCAGATACGAGCTGAGGACTGGGTGGTATGCCAAGCTCGTACTGAAGGCTTGAGGATATTCCATCCCGAGGATGACTGGACCCGTTGTGTATTGGCATTCCAACCCGAGGGTTGATTGGGTCTAGGGTATTCCAACCCGATGGTTGATTGGACCCGATATGATAGTATGGATTGTGGTGAGACTGGACTGCTTTGTGCGTCATTCAATATGCCTAGGGTATTCCAACCCGATGGTTGAATGGACCCAACACGTTTGGTATTCCAACCTGATGGTTGACTGGACCAAACCGCTTATGATACGAGGGTATCCATCCTAGGGATGAGTGAGCCCATCATAGACATGTCTGGTATTCCAGCCCGAGGCTGATTGGACTAGGCATGAGTATTTGAGCATGGATGTCGTATATGTTGTCTGTTTGTGTGGGGGTATTTTGGGGAAACTCACTAAGCTTTGTGCTTACAGTTTTGTTTTTGATTTCATGTTCTTCAGATGATTCGAGGCGAATGCGAAGGCGTGACCGTACACATCCTTGGTTTTACATCAGATTTGATCTTGGGAGACTTTGATTTTAATTCTTGTTTTGGAAACATTGTTTTTGTAAATACTTTGTTAATAAATGAATTGTTTTGAAAAGTTTAAGTTGATGAGATTTTTGGGATGTTACAGAATACACCATACTTATTCGGACTTAGCGGTCAAAATTATCGTCAAAATTAACATAGTATGAGAAGCCTTACTCCAACTAATGGGTGTCAACCAAGATTTTCGTAGCTATACATATATGATACCAAAAATGAAAGCCCAAATAGACAAAAATGTTTTTGGGTATATTCATACTTGATATTACTAACTATTATTACTTTAACAATATTAATTTTATACTAATCATATGTATATTTAATTAATCTTATTTGTAATGGAGCAAACTATGCTTATACACCGACTTATGATTTAGATGATCTTCAAATTATAGAAGATTTGAAGCTTATGTTGGATTCAAATAATAAGTTGGTTAAATATTATAGGATGGTTAGAGATGTTTTCATGCAAATCCTCATGTTGACCTAAAGTTACAAATTATTAGAAAAAGACAACAAGATGGAAAGACATATAACTTTCAGCCTTTATAAAGTTACATAACAATCACATATCAACAATGTTCTTAACAATATAGTGAAAATAATCGATTAATAATTATGATTTTTAACTTTCAAAATTTAATTAATTTTGTAACCGTGGTTCCGACAAGTTATAACTTAGTATAACATAAAATCGTTCTAAAGCCCTTTCATTTTTCTATTTTCTCAATACCTTTTTAGTAAGTTTCTCGGTAATCTTCTGATTTTACATAACATTTTTTCAAAAAAAAGCCTTAAGTTTTTCGGGAAAAAAAAACATGGTCTTTTATAGTTTTCAAACATTAAAATTTGAATTAGACATTTGATTAAAATAAACAAAACAAAAACATGTAATGTCCAATTCTTGTGTTTGAGAAGTATCATGAGACAACACACCGTACAACTAGAGACGTCATAAAGTCTCGTATGACCCCGATTCCGTAATTCTTGTGTTTGAGAAGTATCATGAGACAACACACCGTACAACTAGAGACGTCATAAAGTATCGTATGACCCCGATTCCGTATGGGGGTATTTGTTTTAAAAAAAAAACAAGACTAGAGGCAAATGATTCGGATTTTTTTTCTCGAAAAGATATTTCCATTTAAAGCATTTGTAAAAATACGCAAATTACCTTTTCATAACTTTTACTCGTATGACATTATCAAAACATCAACTAACTCTAAAATCACGAGTATTACACCACAATTACGACGACTACAAGGGTGCCCATTGTCTCACAACCATCGAATAACGAACCCAAAAATCTTTTCTCCAACACAATCACGAATTCATTCAACTCAAACTCACAACTCATCTTTCTCATCACTTCCTCCACCCATAAGTTCTTCAAGTGAAAACTCATCCTCTTCAATAATCTCCCTATCTTTCCCATCCCATGGTTCCATTTTCACAACCACAGGTGTCCCTTCTAATGGAAGGTTACCTTTCCCACCAAGTCCCGCCATTTTCACAAACTCAATAATTTGGTCCTTTTCAAATGCACTTCTAAGTGGTGCATATGCGCCTTTTTTAATGTTTAAAGCTACCAAAGCCGGATACCCGTAGCCACCAACGCCTACGTGCTTCTCAAGTTCTGCTTGTTTACCTGCCGCGGCCCATACGTAGCTGGACCGCAATTTGAGCCGTTAATATGCAATAAATAGCAACGTACTTTCATTTGGTGTGTTTGTTGGATTAAATGCAAGAAATAGCAATTTATTTTTATTCGAGTATTGTGCAAGAAACTACAACATACTTTTGTTATTTGTTTATTAAATGTAAGAAATATCAATGTATTTTTATCTGAGTAATTTGCTATGTCATTTTTACAATGTTTTATGCAGAAAAGTCTCATTAATTTAGGAAAATTTTGATAAAGTCTTAAAAAAATTTGAAGAGAAAAGTCCAGACTATTTAACTTTACACGATCATCTGTTATTTCCTTTTAAAATAAAAATAAGGACTTTTTCGTTAATTGGGCAAAATATTAAATAATCGGGACTTTTTTGTTCAAAATTTCATTTAAGGATTTTATAAAAAAATTTCCCAAAATAATACGACTTTTCTGCATAAAACCCTTATAATTTCTTTATTAAATGCAAGAAATTACAATGTACTTTTGTTATTTGTTTATTGAATGCAAGAAATAGAAATGTACTCTCATTGCTTTACCCAATTACTATAATTGAGTACATTGTTCAAAGTACAATGTACTCTTTAACCTACTTGTATTGCTGATCATTTTTTGAGTAAATTATAAATTTGGTCCTTGTTCTTTAACTAAAATCGCAAGTTCAGTCCAATACTTGAAATTGTCCTAGTGTCGGTCCTTAAGTTTGTATTTTGTTGCAGATATGGTCCCTAATGACTTTAAATTTTGGACTAAGCTTGTGATTTTGAGTAAAGTACAGGGACCATATTGGGACAATTTCAAAATTTAGATTGAAATTGAGATTTTGAGTGAAGCATAGCCACATAGGGACCAAATCTGTAATTTACTCTTATTTTTATTTGAGTAAAATGCTATAATCAGATTTTTATACCTGTAAGGACTCCTTTTGAACTTTTCAGCAACTGATAGAAGCATCTCTATATACTTATTCCTTCCCTCAGCCTTAGAGTCCAAAATATCAGGGAGGAAGGAAACAAAACAGATAGCAGCCGAACCACATTTCTCTTCCATCACATCCTAAAATGGAAAATTTATGATTTTTCCATGGGCAAAAAGGGAAATCCTGAAAAACTATAAAAAGGATTCGAAAAACTCACTGAGCTAGTCAACTCGGTCACTTCAGGAGGAGCAACATTTGTTTCTAGCTGAACAAGGGCAAATGATTCAATTGCAGATGCAGTTCTTGCTCCTTCATATGTGATTGGACTCTCTTTATCTGCACCAAATACTAATATAGTTGGGAACCCTTGTACCTTAAACCTGCTCATTAAAGACTGAAAGAAAGAAAAAAACATAATCAATTAGAAATAATAAAAAATATTGGTTTAGATAAAAAGAAAAGAAATTTAAGAATACCTTTTCGTCATCACAGTTCACATGTCCAAGCTTCACCTTTCCTTGTAAATTCTTTGCAGCCTTCTTCCATTCAGGTGCAAGCTTTTTACAGTGTCCACACCTAAATATATATATATAAAGTTATAAACTTTTTGAAATTTATCATAAGAAAGTAAAGACACAAATTGGTGTATGAATTTATGTTCAAGAGTGGAATGATTAATTACCAAGGTGCAAAGAATTCAACCACCCAAAGATCTTTACTTTTTAACAACCATTTCATCAAAATTATTTGAAGTGAGTTCAACTGATAGATTTGGTTCTGATTTCTTTTCACTTGATTCAGTAGTTGTAGTTTTTCCACTTAATCTGTCTTTAAGGAGTGCCTTCACTTGTTTGAGTGCAAATTCTGCGATTGGTTTTGCTTCTCTAGCTCCTTGGTAATCAACAGGAGGTTTTCCAGGGACAAAGACTTTGATAGTTGGAAACCCTTTGATACCATATTCCTGTAGAAAGAAATGGTGAGGTGTTAGAAATTAGGGTTTGTATAAAAAGATCAAATGATGATTTAAAAAGATTTACCTGAGCAATAGTTGGGTTTGCATCAGCATCAATGGCTGCAACAGTTGCTACACCTTTTAAGACAGAAGCTGCTTTTTCCCATATTGGTGTTAAAGCTTGACAGTGGCCACACCATGGTGCAAAGAACTCGACTAGTACAACACTGTTTGAATTTACAACCTAACAACATAGAAAGATTAGGTTATTAAGCAAAACAGGATCAAAGCTCACATTTCTATCAGGGAAATATTGTTGTAGCAGCAAGGATAAATGCATTAAAGTTGGATTTCTAACTAAAGAGGAAGTTGATCATGTGAGGATGAACATAGGGAGATAAGTATAATCAAGCCCTGTTCTATAAATTGCTTGTTTTATAGGGAGATAAGTATAATCGAGCCCTGTTCTATAAATTGCTTGTTTTATAGCATTACACAAAGTAAAGAAAGGGGAATTTTTTATAGCAACTGTTATTTCTAGACAATATAGCCAAAATGCCTTCCTAAAGGTAGTAATTTGCGAAAACATTTGAATGGATGGAAATTCAATTGGAACTGAGTATCTAGCATAGCTGCCACAAACAGCTTCAATTGATTACTTCGCAAATCAACACATGAAAGATCGATATATTTTGAGATAATTTCTCACTTGTAAGTTCTCTCCATTCAGTAATATGCTTAGAATTTAGAAGTCATTTCGTAGTCTTCAAATTACTGTAAACAATTGTAGTAATTCTCGGAACAAGTTTTAACATACACAAATATATAAGAAATCTGATCTGAAGATCAATAACAAAATGAAGATAAAAAAAAAATTGGAACACATCATTTGTAACGAGAACTAATATAAAATCAGTATTATTCAAATTATCCGTAATTGAATCAACAGAATCTTAAAAATCGACATTGATTCGGTTACCTTAGACTTGAAATTAGAAGGAGTGAGCTGAAGAACAGGTGATGATGATCCGTAGAATGCATCAACGAGATTTAAATTTGAGCTAGCTGATAACAAGAAGAAAGAAATCAAGATCAACACTTTTGCCGAGCGATTCATGCTTTCTATTACACTGAGTAAACGCACAGTGGAGAAGTGACGAATGGAAAACGAGGAAGAAACCTTGCGGGCGCAGAGTAGAAAAACCCCTTCTTATGTTTGATACCGTGGACGGGGATACGTGTTTTAGCCAATGAAATTGATACACGTCATCTTGCCATGTAATTTGATGAGGAAACGAAACGTGGATGCCCAAGATTTGCTGAGTCTTTCTTAGGTCGCCTATGCAGGTGATTGGTCAGATTACATTTAAACGTAAAATCAATTTTTGTTTTTTTTAAATGCACAAATATTAATAACATATTGAGAAAAAAATTATGTTTGAATTTTTTTTTTTAAGAAACTGATATTAAATTCTTGTTTGTTCAAAGTTATTATTTATTTTTATTTTTTTAGAATGCAAACAAAATAATAATCTAACCCTTATAAATAATCTTTTGATAAAAATGACCCATTTTTTTTAAAATAACCATATTGTCCGAAATACATTGATATATTGATCCAGAGATGTTTTCGGAATTCTAGAGTACGATTCTGGACCATGGTTCTCGAATACATTTTACTTAATTTTTTTTCCTTGTAATATGTGATTCCTTTTTTAGTATAGGTTTTGATTTTTTTTTTGTGTAAAATGTGATTCTTTTTTTAATATAAATTTTGATTTATATAATGTATAAGATTTGTTTTTATAAAATATAAGTTTTGGTTTTATAAAATGTAAAATGCAATTAAATTCAACAAAAGACTAATAAATACATAAACTAAAAGGATGTGTCTTTAAGTCATATTACAAATACAATGATCATTGACCTTGTACCCTAAAAAAATTTCGCTAGTCATTTCCGATAACCCATAGCCCATGGACCGGTTTTACGTGCTATAAAAATCGATTTCCTGGTGATCAACGTCTCCAGAAACCAACACAAAACACCCTACAATCCCCTTTGTTGTCAATATGTTGCCGAACACCTGGTGCTTTTTCAAGGGTCATGTTGAAGCTCTCAAGTAGGATTGAATCATTTGGTTCGATGCCCAGGTAGTTGACTCTCACTAGCAGTCTGTGGATGCGGGCTCTCATACCTATAAACCAATCCTCATTTTCAGAATAGTAGTCGCCCTTTCAATTACTACAATATATAGTTACTAGGTTACAACCTGTGGGAACCACGGGTAACAAAGAAAAATAATATTGATGATTAAAAATGATAATAAAAATTCAAAGATTTATAAAGTTTTATTAAAGTAGTTTATTAAAAACATGATAGTAAAAAGTTATTTTGTAAATAATAATGTATATATAAATGTATATTAAACTCAAAAAAATAATTAAGATATTTATATATTTCTTATTTAATTTTTAAATTTGAGTTAACACTTTCATTTCTTAAGTATCAATTAAAAAATATAATTTAATAGAATATGTTGCATAAAGAAAATATTAACATAAGGTACAGAACTTGTACAAATTAATTGGAAAACCGTTAGTGTTATAACAGTATGTTGTGAAATAATTTAATTAATTGTAAATTTTCAACTGATTTTTTTTTTGAGAAAAATATGAAACAGGGACAATTTAAGGCAATTAATATATTAAAATAGTGACTATATATTTGTAAATTATATAAATCATATTCAATTTTAAAGTCATAAAATTTAGAAAAAAGTATTCTATACAATGCAAAAAACTAACAAACTTCACAAATTTATCAAAAAAAGGTCCATGATTGGAAGATGAAATTAACACAAAATTATTGTATATTTTATTTTGATTTCAACATTGATCGGAGTATTGAGATAACTACAAAACACACACTTAAATCTATGAATAATGATGAAAGAGAAATGAGTTTTTTTTTATGTATCTCATAATTAAATTGCATCTAGTACAATTTTTAATTGCATATGATGCATGTTTCCTTCCAATCTAAGAAAATGCATAAAATTACAACTTTTCTCATTAATACTCATTTTCTGCTAAATAAGTTCAAATATTCATCCACCTTAAATAAATTCAATAAATAAAAAGGATTGACAATTAGGAAGGATATGACAGTAATAATATCACAATAACTGGCCATGACTAAAAAGAATAAACCATCAATTCTTAAGGTACAAAAAGAGACCACATTTATGGTTTTTATTATAATATTTTCAGGAAAAAGAAGTAAAACCAAATGATAACCATGAAAATCAGTTAACATTAATCTTTTAGGAAAAAAGAAGTTACTTAGCTACATTTAGCCAAAACAAATGTACATTATATAAGAGCAAGTTCTGTAACGAATAAACTCAAACAGTTGGTGGCACAATATGATGCATTTACACATATGTGCACCAAGAGGGGTTAAAATCCAGTTCTATAAAGGATTAACAAAGGGAAAAAGAAAGTTAGGTTAACGTTACCTAGAGACTAATTACTGAAGTACGAGGGAGAAGCAGAGAAAAAGTAAGAGGGAGGGCAAGGGTGAGGGTATGATTTCATTATGGAAACACCACAAGACAATTGAATAAATAGAAACAACAAATGCTTACTTTCCAACTGAATAAAACACACTTTAATCATAAGAAATAAGCCACTACATAACTTTCCAACTTAATAAAATACTACCTCCGTCCCAAATTAATTGTCCACATTCGACTTTTCCAGTCTTTATTCTTCAACTTTGACCTTAAATAATTTTCTTTTTGATAGATAATACTTAATACAAAATATATGAATACATTGTATTTTAAATGTCTTTTCATTGTATAAGTTTCATCAAGTAATATATAACACAAATAAAAATATTTAAGGTCAAAGTTGAAGAAAAAATACTTCAAAAGTCAAAAGTAGACAATTAATTTGGGACCTCATTGGTGACAACATTGTAAAAGCTTTTCTAAATTCTAATTCTTGTATAATCTGGGGTTACTCATTAATCAGCTACAAAATCAGAAAATAAACATCAAAATAAGCGTAAATGTAGTGAGGGTTTAAAAAAAGACATGTAAACCTACATCCAATTGAGCCTGTGTAAGCTTTGTGTAAGCTTTTTTATCGGTACAACCTTGCTATAACCTTCCATGTCTATTATCATTCTTCCACAGCTGGTAAACTTAAGATCAAGATCCATTGCCATTATCCCTGCCGTTGAACACATAAGATCAAACATCAACATATATATACTGAGAGAACAAAAAAAGACCTGAAGAGAGTAAAATATAAAAAGATATGCCAAAATCAATGATATCTTTTTCGAAACAACTAACTAAATCCATACCAACAATAAGAATACTTATAAGATCAAAAATCCTTTACCACAAGTTGGATTGTCTGACGTGATCACCCAATTTTGACAAAATCTAAAAAAAATTCCAGGTCGTTTCCTGGAAATAATGGAAACAAAAACAAAGTGTAACTGATCAAATTTAATTAAAAGCAATTGAACAAACGATCATCCATCAACAATGAGTGAGAGAAAGACTTTAGGTCTGATTCTTAATTAGATTGAACCTTACGGTCAAGCATCAACAAAAAAAGAATTAATCAAAATACTAGAAACCCATAAAATACCATTCTTATAACAAAAAATTGAAATATTTACCTTGTGCATTTGGAGTTTCAGACTTTTCTAGGTACAAAAAACCCATATAACAAATGAAAACATTTTGTTTATTCTTGCAGCCCCACTTTTTTCACTATCTGTGAATTCTGCACCAGATCAAAAATATTAGTGTAAAAAGGGATTTAAAAGAAAACGAACTCAAAAAAATAAAGGATTTTAGTAAGACTACTTGAAGATGGAACTTCATGTTATGATCATAAACCCTATATTTCAGAATATCCCAATCATACCTACAATTGAATTTAAAACCTAAATCAGAAAGAGATAATGTCGAAGAAATGAAAAAACCTAAATCGGAAAGATAGAGGGTGACAGATGTGTTTGTGTGTGTGTGCGAACATAAAACAGAAAGACAAAGATCTATCTGAGGGGTGTGTGTATGTATCCCGTATCGCTTCCCAATTCTATAGTAGATAGAAAGAAACAAAGGGAGAAAGAAGACATATATATTAAGGTTTTAAACAGTCGACACTAATGTGTGTTAAGATCAAGACCATAAACGAAGTATTTACCTTTTTTGCGCAATCGTTGGCAGCAATCGGAAACAAAGATAAAGATCCTGACGCCTAATATTTTCTAGAGAGGGGGAGAGAAATTGATTTTTAAGAGAGTTTGCATTTCAAAATTTTAATTCAGATTCAGATCCAAAATAAGCTGAATTAAATATTGAATGAAGTAGGGGTATAACTGGAAATTCACTTTGATGTAAAATGGTTTATGGAAGTGCCATGTGGATAAAAGGATTCATTTATTAAGTAGGGAGATTTTGAATGTCTTCAAATTCAAAGCACACAAAAACCAATGAGCATGTAGTATATTTATTAGGATGTAAAGCTACAAAAAAGGTTAGAAATAATTAATTGGTATATAAATGCTTAGGTAATGTAATCCAAATATAATTATACCATATCACAGTCTGCCTAAGTTGGGTAAACGGATCCGCCAACCATGTCACTCTAGTCAAATGTATCAGTGTTGAAAGTTGACGGAACAACCGTTCACCGAGCATCCTCCGCTTTACACTCTAGCAACAATGAGATCCACATCATGATGTGTTGCCAATATTTTTTTTTGCAGTAAAGTAAGTATTGTTATTAGAAGCGTGGTATATAATGAACACATAACTACATTACTTACATCACATGACAACCATCCTCCATGACTATTCGCATATAATCGTGTCCAAAACTCAAATGTAGCAAAACCGGTCAAATAATTGTGACCAAACAACAACAAACCATCCCGTTCTTTACATACACTGTGTACGGTAGGTTCTAAAAGATTGTCCACGGGTGCTGGTTGTTGTCATGTAACACATTTCCTCTTCATTTGTATCTGTGGGGACTTATACCATATAGACATAACTTTTTGATGCTTAGAACGCCTAAGAGGTGTTGACGATGGTGTTTTTTATTCATCCCGTGAAATCTATTTTACATCCGACGATTGAATACATAGAGATGGCTGCTCAGAGTCATAATTCAGCAATTGTTTGGGTCTGCCTAACCCATAATCATGCTCCCATAAGTCATCGTCATTGTAGTATGTGGTACCAACATCTAGCTGTAACACTGAAACATCAGGTATTTTTCTTTCTTGGACTCAAAGTATAAATTTGTTGCAAAAATGGTCCTTACGACGTGCGCACTTGGGGCGTATGCATGGCGTAGTTCATTAAAAATAACCGAGGAATCATGTGAGTACGTCGGGCAACCTTATATTATACACATGGCGTACTAAGCTAGTGAGCAAACCCTAATTTTTAGGGTTTAAGAACTATTTAAGCATCCTTAACCCTCAAAACCCTTTTCATCTCCATCTCCCAAAAATGTCCCTTGAGAACCCTAGTTCTTTGATGTGTGATTTTGAGCTTGAAGAGTGTGTGTTCTTGTGCTTGTGAAGGAGGAAGAAGGTGGTAGATTATCTTCGAAGCTCAAGACAACTTAGATCCAAAAGTATCTCACACTCAAACATCCCTTGAAGGTATAAAGCTTGGAACTTGATGAAATTTTTCCTTAGATCTTGCTAGTTCTTAAGTTTTTATGCATTTTGGTCCCATAATCTTGGTATTCATGAGTATGGATTACTCTAAACCATAAGAGGTGTCATTTTAGACATTTTTTAGTACTAGGAACCATAAAAATGTGATCGTGGTCCCTTTCTTCCTTCTATGCAAGAGTTATGATGTTTGAATTTGTGTATTAGTTAGGGTTTTGGTTTTTGTACTCATTTTAGCCATGAAAGGTCATAAAGTTGGAAACTTTAAGACTTAGAATGAGATCTGGGATTGGATCTAAGCTTTGGAAGTAATGTCTTAACGAGTTAAGCACTTAATGAAGAAAAGTTGAATCATTCCCTGTATGCCAGGTGTACATAGAGGTACACAACGCATACTAAGTAGAGGCTCCGTATTCTAGCCAAGGACCATCTACGCCCGACATAGTGACTAAGTACACAGGGCATACTCATTCTGTGTTGACCTCCTTTAACTTTTTGAATTTTGACTTTTTGACTTTTTGACCTTGACCTTTACCAACTTTGACTTAGGGGTGTTTTGGGTAATTTGAGTAGTAATTTGAGATTAGGTCCCTATTTATTGTATAGGTGATCGGTATAGACAACAGTTATAGCGATGATTTGTTCAACTACATTTCAGACTGTGAGGTGAGTTTTCCTCACTGTACTTATGGGTCGAAGGCACCAATGTCATCCCATTGGATTATGTATCCTAGTATATTAGATGATGTTATGTTGCTTATGTGATTGACTGGTAGATCTGTATGATTACTTATACGTGTTGGTTATTGTTTGTTATTATATATGTTGACATGTTATGGTTTATTGGGTTGAGGCAGTCCTGCTTTGTGTTGAAGGCCAAAATACTCGAGGCAGTTCGGATAGACTGTAGACCCTACGAGGTGTTCCAATTAGGCTGAAGGCCTGGAGAGAAATCCAGATAGGTTGTAGGCCCTACGAGGCGGTCCAGTCAAGCCAAAGGCTCGGAGAGCGATCCGGATAGGCTATACACTCGACGAGGCGGTCCAGTCATGCTGAAGGCTCATATATGTATGTTGTTATCTATTTGATTGTGTCTGGTACTTTGGGGGAACTCACTAAGCTTTGGCTTACAGTTTAATTTTGTGGTTTCAGGTAATTCAGCGGATAAGGGCAAGGCGAAGGCGTGATCGTACATATTCGTCATTGATATGTTTTGTGAGATATTATGATACTTTGATTTTAGGATAATTGTATTTGATACTTGGTTTTATAACTTGGGTTTTGATTGAAACAATGATTTTACTTTAATTGAAAAATGAAAATTTTATCTGAATTTTTAGATGTTACAAGTTGGTATCGGAGCCCTGGTTTAAGAGAATTGGATGAGCATTCGCGTGAATCTAGACTCCTACTAAGGATCTATAAAAGTTTTCAAAATTGTTTTCAAAAAGTAACCAAGGAAGGATGAGATGTGTACGATCAGCCGGAGCAAGAAAAATATACCCCAAGTTACCCACGTTGTTATTTTTTTATGGTGATTATGATAGGATAGCATGCTAGTAGTAGACTAGGGATCTTCCAGAATTGCATGATAGAATTGCCTAATGTATGATGCCTGATTGCATAGGAGAATTTCTTGTATGTTAGATGGAATTGACATCATTATTGTAGTTGCTTAGTGTGTGCATCATAGTTGTACATAACTAATATTTTATAGCCTAAGAATGTTTGATTTGGCCTTATTTCATGTTTCTTGTTTGGTTTTTGGCTTAGGGTAGAATCAAGTATTTTACTATCTATAGAATCCAATGTTATGTATGATTTGTTGGATAAGGTGTCTAAGTCCATAACTTTATTTGGTATATACTTGACCCGACCTGGCTTGGTTCATTTGGGTTGCACTTCACCCGAACGATTTATGGTTAAACCTTTGAGAATTGTATGTTGATGATTTGTTAATATATTATAAGTTATAATATATTAATATGAAATCATATTATTTTAATTAGTATTGATCATAAATTAATTTAGAATTAATTTGGTGATAAAAAAGGTGACTAATTAAATATGGGCTCTTGTATTTATATAAGTGTGGGCTAATACTCATTTGGAATGGGCTTAGCATGCATGGGAGTCCATGGATAGTCCATGGAGATTTTAACCCATGGATCCTTGGAAAGGAAGAGTCATGGGTATTAGGGTTTACATGGATGTAACCCTAATCCTCCACACTATATAAAGGATCTTGTGATGCTTGAAATGACACTAGTTGTGTGTGTAAAAGGCGGTGGCCGATTTCTATAAGCTACATACACTCTCATAAGGTTTTTCCAAGTTTGTGGTGATTTGTGATTTCCATTTGAGGCATCCACATTATTAGTTCTAGGCTCTCAAACTCCAATGAATCAAACTCACAATTGAAAGGTATGTAATTCTTCTAGCCATTATGTTTAATGTTCCCCATGCCATGCTAGATAGGTTATGAACCTTGGAAAAATAAAAGTTGCATGTATTCATAGTAAAACATAGATCCAAGG